ATCTTTTAATATATATATATAAAGCTTTTATTTTATACACTAGAATCTTTACCTCCCCTGCAAGCCGCCCATCACCTGCGCCAACTTCCAAAACTGACAACAACTTCCTGGCGCCATGGCAACAGTCACAGACTGCGCAGACTGCATCCAATGCAACCACCTGAGATCGCCTCTCTGAATCTTGGGAAGAAAGCTGAAACATTGAATCAAGCAGGATAAAGCGGGTAAAGACAATAGAACCGTTCAATTTAATTAATCCAGGGCCGGCGCTAGGGGATGGCGAAGTGGCCCCGAGCGTTGCCGTAGTATATTTATATACTTATATATAGTATGTTTGTAAAATACCGAAGCCTACTAATAGTTCCTGATCCAGTCAACACAATATTCGGAGTTATTAGATAGTCCAATGGTCTGAAGTTCAGTCTGGCTCCCATACTATCCCTTCGAGATGAATCTCGGGAAGACCTCTGGGCGCATGTTAAGCAGACGAAAGGGGATTATCGGGGAATTGTATACTGTATTTAGACCCGTTAACCTTTTGTTCAGCCTTCATCACACCATAAGAAGTCCAGCGAAATTCAATTTGCCCAAGGCCCCGCACCCTCCTAGCACCGGCCCTGAATAAATCAATACATTTACACGACGCCCACCCCTGGCTATAAAATTATTTCCAAGATTTGAATAAAGGGCGCCAAATTTACCCTCCTCCCCTGGCCCCCTTTATGCCGCCCCACCTCCATACATGGTTCAAATTATATTTCAGTTGTGGTGCTCAAATTGCTTTTGGGCACTGGTACAAGAAAGTCATTTGAATTACCAGCATCCTGATGCACATTCATGGATGATGACACACAACTAAAATAAGAACTGATCCGTCTCAGCAGTCTCGTATGTTTCAAATTCCCCGAGGTTCCTTATATCGCTAAGTAAAAAAAAGTTACGGTTTTCTTTCAAATCCAATAGTAGGAAGCTACTGTTCGTCACTGCCCGTCACTGCTTATCAGCATACAATGCGTTTCTGTTCCTGGTAGTAAAAATGTTGCAAAAATCTGCGAACGCTTAAAATTTTTGTTGTTGTTGGTATTTATTAATAAAAATTAATATATGGATGTTTGTTCAAGATTTAAAAAAACCAAAAAAAAAAACGAGCGCAAATAGTTTATTATTATTATTTTTTATATCTGAAATTATTTTGTTAAGATATATGGATCTTCAAATTAATTTATTGTCGTTTGTTCATTCAGCTTTGAAAAGTTTTAAGGCTACTTAAAACTGATCCTTAAAAAAAAATAATTTATAATAAATCTCAATTTTTTAAATTTTAGTTTTACAGCACGATTTATTGATTTCTTAGTGATTTATTTCGCATCTACGTGAAAATCACCTCATCGCCAAAAAAAATAAAAAAAGAAATAATTATATTATATATATATTATATATTATATAATTATATTATATAAATAAATAATAAAATTACGTCAAAAGATTAAAATGCTTATGCCTGTCTAATTTACATTTACAACCGCTATAATTTTTAAGGTCAAATTACAAGTTAATTGATATATGCAGAGGCGTAGCTAGAGTGTGGGGCGCCCGGGGGACAAGATTCACGCCCGGGGACAAAATACATTTTAAAGCGCCCCCTTTCCTTTTTTAAACTTTCAAACCCATTATTTTCATCAATAAAATAATATCAAAGCGCATTTTGGCGCCCCCTAACAAGCTGGCGCCTGGGGGCATCTGCCCTCCACCCCTTCGCTACGCCTCTGAAAATATATGGCGCTTTTTTTTAAAGCTATTTGGTACAATTTTGTATTAACATATATTTTGTTCTCCAAATCCCAAGATCTTTTTTTCTTTACATGACAATTTAAAAAGAAGTCAAATGTTATATATCATCTTTTACTCTAATGTTGATTTTGATCATTGAATTTATTTCGTTTTGTTTTTCTGTGTGGAAAAACCCCTCTTTCCTTTGAGGAAATAAAAAATAATATAAACACCCCCACCCCCCCCCCAAAAAAAAAAACAAAAAAAAAAAAAAAAAAAACAAAAACAAAAAAAAAAAAAAAAAAAAAAAAAAAAAAAAAAAAAAAAAAAAAAAAAAAAAAAAATAAAAAAAAAAACAAAAAAAAAAAAAAAAAAAAAAAAAAAAAAAAAAAAAAAAAAAAAAAAAAAAAAAACAAAAAAAAAAAAAAAAAAAAAAAACCAACAGGATCTGAAAATGCTAAATGTGCTCTCGTCTCGTGTCCTATATTTTACAGACACACTAAAATTACGGCGCAAAATTTCCTCACAAATCTCACGGAGCGCATCCACTTTTGTCTTGCAGGGTGAGCATTTCTGTGAATAAACATTACTGCGTGTAACCAAACTGTGTGACGTCATTAACATCCAGAAAAAAACAAAAAACATCGTTATTTTAAACAATTGATTACTTAAAGACGTCGGGACAGAAGCCTCATGTTTTTTAATACCTCGCGTTCAAAATAAAGATTAAAAAAAAAAAAATGCACCCCCCCACCCCTTACACTAAATTAATTCGGTTGTGGCGTCCCTTGAGAGTTAGATTTCGGGGCCTCCAAACACTCCTGTCACCTCTGCTTAATTTCATTTCTGAATTTTTTTTTTTTTTTCCTAAAGTTACACCAATTTTAAAAAAAATAAATAAACATACATTTTTACCACTACCGACGTGGGGCATTTTTTCCTCCTCGAGCATCAACAAGAATACGTCACTCACGTTACGTCACTGTAAACTGCACAGTCTACACATATTGTGTCCAGGGGCGTATGCTGACTTTGCAGTTATGGCTGCCTCGTTGGTTATAACGAATTGGTCTAAACAAGAAATAAAAATCAAGGACCATAATGTACGATAACAGAAAACATATATATATATACATATTTTAAAATGTATAAATTATAATAATCACGATAACATAATGTACGATAACAGAAAACATATATATATATATATATATATATACATATTTTAAAATGTATAAATTATAATAATCATTGCTGCTACTGCTAGCGTAGAGAATATGCCCCTGGTTATATCATGGATCAATAATTTTCTTAGGTACCGATACAATCTAAACTGTAATATAACTGAATACACATTCTAAATAAAATGACATGTACACACTGTACTCTCAACACCATATTAAAGGCAAAGCTGTACAACACTTAACACACGAATACATAAATAAATAAATAAATATATATATATATATATATATATATATATATATATATATATA